CTATGATTTTATGTAGTTTATGGACTAAAATGTAATATTTATTTTTATTTTGTTATTACTGAATATGTACTTACGCACTTAAATGAAATGTGCACTTTTGAAAAAATACATGCACATTTTTGTTTGAACGATGTAATATCAATATCTTTTATTCAAATAAGAAATAGTGACTATTCAATTAATTAAAACATTAAAAAGTTCTAAAATAGGCTTCCCCTCCATTAAGTGGACACCTCTCTTGGGCGGACAAAAAATGACTGACGGTGAGTGTCCGCCCAAGGGAGGTTTCACTGTACACATGTATTGGGCCAAATTTAGTTAATAATGCAGTTATGCTAAACTCATCAAGATCTTTCAAATGGCTTTATCAGATTTTGGATATCTCCTTTGGATTTCGAGATATTTGGTATAATTTTATCGTTTATGCAAGGTCACAAGCGTTTTAGTCGACATTTTTTCATACAAATTCAGTGTTTATAAGTCTCAACAAAAAATATTTGTATGTAAGAGACCAGCTAACATATACGACTAAATTTGATCTTGTTCGGTAAAAATATGTCGTATTTATTATTGAACGAGCATTGACTTTCCCAAAAAAGCAACTTAAACAAAAAGGACCTACAAAGTTGTGTTCTATTTTTAACCGACTTCAAAAAAAGGAGGAGGATATCAATTCGTCGGAATGTTTTATTTTATTTTATTTTTTTTATGTATGTTACCGTATAACTTTGAACCCCGTCAACCGATTTCGATAATTCTTTTTATTTTATCGGAAAGGTGGTACCTAAAACGCGGTCCCATACCGATTTAGATTTGATCATGGAATCATGAAGAAATTAACGGTAGTCTTAAATTTTTATAAGAAAAATTTCTTGTTGGTGAAAGAAAAAGAGAAATGAAAGAGAAAGAACCATATGAAAAATGTAATTCAAATGACTCATATACATATGTAAATTAGACTGCATCACCAAAAATATTGGCGGTTTTTTCGCCGGGATTACAAAATTTATTATATTTGAAGACGTCCACCAAAACATTACGGAAAAATATTAAGATTTGAGCGAGCTGGACCGATTGCCGAAGTCATTCGTGTCCCAATTTTCTTCTTTTTTTCCAAGTACCAACACATCTTAATTCAACTTTGAATGATGCTCGATCATTCTACCTTTCTCTTTAATCCTTTGAATGAGCTTATTATCAAAGAAATAAAAAGGGTGAGAAAATACCTTTCCAATGAAAGAGTTTAGGTTCAGTTATTCAAGTTCCATTATTACGATTCCGTTCAAATTTTTTATTTTTTTTCTAAATATTTTTATTTAAACTTTTTAAGCTTAAACCGTTTTGTCATTTGAGTGGATTTTTTCAAAAAACATATTTAATTAACTATTTTTATTCATAAAAAACTCTATTTTTGGAGGTATTTTCAAATCGGTCCAGCTCGCTTAAATCTTACTATTTTTCCAAAATATTTTGGTGGACGTCTTAAAATACAATAGATTAGAATAAATAAAATTAACAATAAATGTTGCAGATTTTGTGTAATTTTTTTTTTTTAATAAATTCCAATATTTCCTTAAGAAATCTACCGTGACGTTTTCAAGAGACAGACTTTGAACTTCAATCGCGATTTCCCAAAAGTCGTCAAATGTAACATACGAAAATCAGTTGTTCCAGCAACGATATGTACTTACACAAATATCATCATTGCATCCCAGAGGTAGAGAAAAGCGGGTAGTGGGCCGTAAGCTTCCAGTATATACGCATAATCGCCGCCAGACTTTGGTATCGTCGTACCCAATTCAGCATAACAAAGCGCGCCAATCATCGACAACATGCCACATAGCACCCATATGATTAGTGATGTGCCAACCGCTTCTACTTCACGTATCACACCTTTGGGTGATATGAAAATGCCTGAACCGAATATAACACCCAAAATAATGGCAACTCCTTCAAGTAGTCCCAATTGTTTTTTCATACGCACAGCACTGTTATTTGAATCGGCAGATCCTTCATGTTGGCCGCCCACACCCCCATTGCTAACTGTGATAGCAGCGGAGTTGTCTGCGGTGACATTGGGGGAAATTTCACTAGCGGGAGTTAATAGCACAATTTCGCTGGTGGGCGATTGTAGGTCACTAGGGGCGCGCATTATGTTGAGTTATATATTCAACAATTTATTTCTATTACAGTCTCGTTGATCCAATTTTGCCTCTTTATCCGCTTGCGTTTGCTTGTAAAGTCGCGATAAGACTGAGGCGGACGTTCTTCAACAGCAACGCCTATGGTCAGCTAGAGTTTTGCTGAATCCAAAGATGTAATTGAAATTCGTTATTACGTTTTGCGCTTCGCTTATACACATCGCGGTGAAAGTATCTCAATAATGCCGGGTGTTTTTCATATTTTGTTTTGCTATGCTGTTTTCTGCCCTATAATTGTGCTCCCTCATTACTCAACCCACAAGCTTCTTCGCCAAGGGCAAGGGGCCTTGCTCGAAGCCCACTGACACAGTTTCAGAAAGCAACAACCACTAGTTGTACTATGTACATATTTTTAGGTTAGATGCACTGCACATCCACCTTAATTCATGCGCTGGGTATATGAATCACTGGAAAATCGATAGTGTTTCCAAATATTTCAAATGTCTTTAGTCATATTTTCCAAAAATTTATTTAATTTCTGATTTATTTTGTACAACTTATATTTTTATTTGTTAAAGAATATCAATTGAAAATTTACAACACGCGAAAAACAAGCACAGGCCAGCGCAACTGTCAAACGGAAAATAGCAATACGGAAAATGAAAAGTGAAAAGTGGGTGAACTGCGATAGGGGCGGAAAACGAAATGTTGAAAGGAAAAGTGCGCAGTGTTGGAAAACGGAAATAGGCGAAAATAAATACAAATGTAAGTACATACATATGTTTATAAAATAATCGTAATTCGGTTGATAGCAAGTACGTACAGACTCATAGTATAAAAAATGCGCGCAAGCATTTATAATAGTTTTAACGCATACTTTTCTTTAAAGCATACTTTTAGGGTGAGAAGAACACTCCCACTTCCGCGCATTGAAAAAAGTCAAAGCACATATTTTTAATACATACACATATATTTTTATTTGAATCGCTACTATAAAAAACTACATGTTTTATATTGCATATGATAATAATTGAGCACTATGACAAGGGTTCTCATAAATTAAAAATAATGCAATAAATTGCATCATTTTTAATGTTACATTTTATATTTACTTTAAATATCTGAAACATTTCATTGACGATTAATGAATATATCGCACACTATCTTCAAAAGTGACACAACTCAAAATTACACGTTCGCCAGAAAATGCAAAAAACTATTTCTTAGCGTATGCTAATCATATGGGCAAGTGAGAATTTACCTTAGGTTTTTTCAACAAATTATAACAAAAATTTGCTCCAGTTTTTGCTGAAAAGTAAATACAAGTTGTGCGCTCATTTGTGTTGTGTCACTTTAGAAGATGGTGTGCGAATTATTGAAATAAAGTACGAATGCTTGTCTGCACACATCCTCATTTCTTTTCTTTTGCATGTAACTTTGAATTGATCATATCTTTGAATTGCGATAAAATTTTGTTTTCGCGTTTCTGTCGCTCCTCTTTGCTGAACATAGCCAACGCTCGTTTTTCATCGGCCGAATATATTTGATTTTCCTTGCGAATACGCACAGCTTCCATGCGACGATGTCTAAACAAACAAAAAACAACATTAGTCTGATTTAGAAAAAGATGTTCAATTTATCTTACCTGCTACCGCTCATTACATAACCCACGGATTCAAAATTTGCGATCTCTTCGGATGTCAAACCAATTTCTCCTCTTCTTGGAATTCTTTTACCTTCAGCAATATACGCTGCCATAGCCGCACCTTCACCAGGTAGCAAAGCGCGTCCAAAATCCTTTTGACTTAGGCCACTGGTCTGCCTCAGCGTGGGTCCAAACTCTTCACCATCCGCGTTAACTCCCAGTGACGTTCCAGGTCTATCTTCTCTGCCCTTTTTGGTTTCGTTGCGTATATGTTTTTTTCCCTTCTTTTGTTTTTTGTTCCTTTTGATTTTTATTTTCTTTTTTATAGGCCTGACACCCTCAGCAGTCTTTTCTAGCCAAGTTTCCTTTACATCTTCACTATCTGTGGAGCTTTCGCTATCAGAACTGGAGTCATCTGAGCTATCTTCGGAAGATGAAGCAGAGCTCGAGCTCGATGTGTCACTAGAACTTGATGCGTTTTTTTTCTTTCTGTGCTTACTTTTGGATTTTTTCTTACTACTTTTACGTTTCTTTGATTTTTTAGATTTCTTCTTTTTCGCCTTACTTTTCTTTTTCTTTGGCTTTTTATAAGTTCCGTCCAGAATTTGAACATCTGGATCGTCTTGCTCGTCATGAGAATAAGATTCTGGATGTGCCGGGCTTTTGGCCCATACGTCTTCTGTACCTTCTATGCCGATTAATTCACGTTGTGCCCTTCGTGCGTCTAAATAGTTCGACGATTTTTTCTGTTGGTGATTACTTGCTCCTCCCCGAAAAGGATTATTTTGCCGTGCACCATAATTGTTTTCATGGAACTTGTCATTTGGCCAACGTTCTTCCCCGTGATTCTTATGTTTAGATGGGGAACGACTAGTCCTATTCTTTGACTTCGAACGACGAGTCTCTCGACGTTGATGCCTATGGTGAAGGCTTTTCACGGAGCGCCTACTTGATCTTGATCTTGAACGAGATTTTGAGCTACTCGGCGTTTTGGTTCTTGACCGTGTTGCCTTTCGTCGGTGTTGATCTCGTTCTCTTTGACGTGTAGCACCACGATCCCGCGAATTACTTCTACGTCTTTGGAGCGATCGACTACGACTACGAGAACGCGTTCGGGAAGGAGAACGCATTTAAACACAAATATTAAACAATTCCTTAGATTTTTTGTATTATACAAACAAACTAGCAGAGCCAATTTTGCACAACTTTAATAAATACACTTTTTACAAATTACACATTTTGTGGATTGTGTGATGAAAGGAACGTCAAAAATACACAGGGGTGCATTCCATTTCATCAACTCGAAAATAAGCTTAATAGCCCGAACACAATGAAAACGACGAGATACAGACCACGGCTGTCAAATTATTTTAACACGTACTTTTATGTAATATAACTTTGTAATAGCAATTGAGAAAAAAGTGTGTGTCGTTCGTAACTTTGAAGTTTGCTATTTCTCTTTTGCGTCTTTCTTTATGTGTATTTTGTCGATGGTTTATTTCAGTGATTTTTAAGCGATTTAAGCGCGGTGATTGTTTGCAAAAACACGTACAAAAATAATAAACAAAAGTGCTTAAATTTTTTCTCTTTGCTTTGTCTTCATATTTTTGTTTACTTTTCAAAGAAAATAGCATGGCGCCGATTTTACAAACGTCAGCCAGAAAATTACTTTTTTCATTTGTGTAGCTGGATCATGTGGTATGTATTTTCTTTCGATAGTCGATAGTTATTCGACCATCGATAGAACTATCGTCACGGGGCTCTGTCACACGGTCAGTAATTATCACGATATTTGGAACGCAATCCATATTGATGGATTGATGGATAGTGCACGGATACTACATGTTCAATATTTATCGCGTCAGTATGTATTTGCATAAATAATTTTTGTGCTGACCGCTTATTATGACGCATGAAAATATTTTAATCTTGTATGAATAGTTTACAGATAATGCATTCTGCAATTATTTTAAAATTGTCAATGTTAATTAAAATTTTTTCTATTTGTTTTTTAAAGGTTTTAAGCACCGATAGCAAAGGCATAGCGAATACGTTTTTGATGTTCGCATTATAAGAGTACAAGATGTACTGACGAAATGTACTCTAAATTCTAATAGTATGAACAAAATATACAACTATCGATAGTGCTAAGAAAAATTCGATAGAGGCGGCAATATGAAACCATCGATACTATCGATAGCCCCATCGATAGTTCGCAATCACTAGTGGATGTGACGTGTAAAATTTTCAGCAGCAATTTATCTAAAAAACTAAAATAGTTTTTTAGCAATTTAAAGTTTTTAACTTATTTCAAGTGTTTATAAAGGCTACTAAACATGGGTTCATTCCGACGAGATAAAGATGACGAGGATGAGGGTAAGCTCGGAACATTGAATGGCGTGAAAAGTACGCCCTAATTTTTAACAAAAATCTTCACTGTAAAACGTGTTGATATCATTTAATTTAATGTTATGTGCTTATTTGACGTAAAATGAAAGAATTTATTAATTCTTTAATCCGTTTCATCGTAATGCGAATAAATACAAAAACTTTCCTGTTGACTTCAAAAGGCACCACCAACATCTATCAAAACTTGGAAAAGACTTCTGTGCTACAAGAAACGCGTACTTTCAACGACACACCGGTAAATCCAAGGAAATGTATTCAAATTCTTACGAAAATTCTCTACCTGATAAACCAGGGCGAACAATTAGTTGCTCGCGAGGCTACCGATTGCTTTTTTGCAATGACAAAATTGTTCCAGTCGAAAGATGTCGTATTGCGCCGCATGGTTTATCTAGGAATAAAAGAACTCAGCTCCATTGCAGAAGATGTCATAATTGTAACAAGTTCACTGACCAAGGATATGACAGGTAAGGAGGATTTGTATCGTCCGGCTGCCATACGCGCACTTTGCAGCATTACCGACAATACGATGCTGCAAGCAGTTGAACGTTACATGAAGCAATGTATCGTTGATAAGAACCCAGCAGTGTCATGCGCTGCCCTTGTAAGCTCGCTACGTTTGGCAAGTGCCGCTGGCGATGTGGTAAAACGTTGGGCTAACGAAGCACAGGAAGCTCTTAACAGCGATAACATAATGGTGCAATACCACGCACTAGGTTTGCTTTACCATATACGTAAGTCCGATCGTTTAGCCGTATCTAAGCTAGTAAATAAATTGACACGTAATTCTATGAAGAGTCCATACGCCGTTTGCATGCTGGTAAGTTTCGAAACCTATTTGAATCAGTAGAAAATACATTTATTACCTCTTTGTTGTTTAAAGATTCGTATCGCCTGCAAACTGATCGAGGAAGAAGACATCTCAGCTGAAGATATGTCGAATTCGCCAATGTTTACTTTCATCGAAACATGCTTGCGTCACAAGAGCGAAATGGTTATTTATGAGGCGGCACACGCAATTGTTAATCTTAAGAACACAAACGCACGTGTCTTGTCTCCAGCATTTTCTATATTGCAACTCTTCTGTAGCTCACCGAAAGCTACCTTACGGTTTGCGGCCGTGCGAACACTCAACAAAGTGGCTATGACTCACCCAGCTGCTGTAACAACTTGCAACTTGGATTTAGAAGGACTTATAACTGATTCTAATCGGTCGGTCGCTACATTGGCTATAACAACTTTGTTGAAGACCGGCGCTGAATCGTCTGTTGAACGTTTAATGAAACAGATTTCCTCATTTGTTGCTGAGATTTCAGATGAATTCAAGGTTGTTGTTGTGCAAGCGATTTGTGCACTTTGTTCCAAGTACCCGCGCAAACATACTGTGCTAATGAACTTCCTAAGTGGTATGTTGCGTGAAGAGGGCGGTTTGGAATACAAAACTTCAATTGTGGACACCATAATTACAATTATTGAAGAAAATGCTGAAGCTAAGGAATCTGGACTCTCTCATCTTTGTGAATTTATCGAAGACTGTGAACATGTTTCGCTGGCAGTTAGAATTCTTCATCTACTTGGCAAGGAGGGTCCATTTGCCAATACACCATCCAAGTACATTCGCTTTATTTATAATCGCGTTATTTTAGAAAGTCCAATAGTACGTGCAGCTGCTGTTACAGCACTGGCACAGTTTGGTGCCTCTTGTCCTGCACTTATAAATAACATTTTGGTACTACTTAGCCGTTGTCAAATGGATCCTGATGATGAAGTACGCGATCGTGCTACTTACTACTTGCACTTATTACAATCCAATAAACCGGAACTTTATAAACATTACATTATCGAGCGTGAAACATGCTCGGTGGCCTTATTGGAAAAGGCGTTAACGGAACATTTGAATGGGGACTTGTCTACTAAATTTGATTTATCCATTGTACCCAAGACCACCGTTGTTAAAGAGGAACCCGCCAACGAAGCTATGCTTATTTCTAATAGTAAGTTTAATCTGATAAAACAAATAGGATCCATAAGTCAGTTTAAAGCATTTGATGTATTAATTCTCAGCGCCACGAGCTCCGAAGATCACACGTGAAGAAGAAAGTGCTGCGCGCTTATCTCAATTGCCAGGTATACAAGTGTTGGGACCTATTCATCGTACAACACCGCCAATACAGCTTACCGAAAGCGAAACTGAATACACAGTGCAATGCATTAAACACATCTTCGCCAATCACGTCGTATTTCAGGTGAGATATGAAAGCAAAAAGATGCACTTATGCTCAATATATAAACAAAACTGTTTTTCTTATTTCAGTTTGATTGTCTCAATACCTTGCCTGATCAAATATTGGAAAATGTGCGTGTAGAGCTAACTATACCTGAGGGATTCATCACGCGCGCTGTTATACCATGTCCAAAACTTCCTTACAATGACTTACAAACGACTTTTGTCATTGTCGAATTTCCACCAGATGTTGCTAGTTCAGCTGGTAATCAAAGGCATATAAGTATATAATTAATTGCTATTTATACTTATTTTCTTTCTTAGCAACATTTGGCGCCACTTTACGATTCGTGGTTAAGGATTGCGATCCAAATACAGGAGAACCCGATTCAGATAATGGCTACGAGGAGGAATACATGCTAGAAGATCTAGAAATTACAGTTGCTGACCAAATTCAAAAATCGAAAAAGAGTAATTTCCAAGCGATTTGGGACGCTGCAGATACAGATGGTAATTTTACTAATCAGTTTGATTGCTCTGAACAAAATTATGAACTATTGTAAACTATTCTTATAGAATGGGTCGAAGCTGAAGATACATATTCGCTCTCTACTGCAAACACATTACAGGAGGCAGTTAATTTAATTTTGAAATTCCTTGGCTTAGGTGCCGCCAATCTCTCTGAGAATGTAACTGAGGGGACACACACGCATACATTACTTTGTTCAGGTAGGTGTATCAAAATGCAAATGCTTTTACAAAATGTATATATTTTTAATTTGATAAAACAAATTGGTTTAACTTTTTCGACAACAGGCACTTTTAGAGGTGGTGCTGAAATATTAGTGCGGTCTAAATTGGCGTTATCCGATGGTGTTACCATGCAGCTAACCGTTCGTACTACAGATCCAGATGTTGCTGAGCTTTTAACATCTGCTATTGGATAGAATACAGAGGGTTAGATGATAGGAAATCGTTAAACGAATAGCAGAGTTTTAATGTTGATTAAGTTTAAAATGAGTGTACCGCTAATGCCATTCAAAATTAAAAAAAAAAAAAAACTATCTAACACTTAGTAGCATTTCTCTTCATCACTAAAACAAGTCCAATGGAAGGCCGAATATTATGTGATACAACTATGTAGTGTTGAAGAAAATTGAAGCAGAATATCATTACAAGAATTATAATTTGCAACTGAGTGTTAAAGAATGGATTCGTGAAGTGTATTTCGTGCCACAACATAAGTTTTAATTAATCAGCAGATAAAGGCATAATGCTCTACACATCCCTATATCTTAATAAAAATGTATACTTTGTAATGAATTTGTCAGGAAACATGCATAGAAGCGATGGCAAGTGATCGCATTTGCCAGACGTTCTGCGGCCAATTCATACAAAATATTTAATGTAAATTTTTATTATTTTTTTTTTGGTACATTTCTGATGTTTGTAATTAAAACAAATGTATTCCATATTTTGTAAATTTAAATATAAATATCTGTTTTTTTTGACTTTGACTTAGATAGATATGTAAGGATGACACTAATTGCATATGAGAAATTGCATTAGTGTTTAACCATATTATTATTATATATGCGAATAAATATCAAGAAAATGTTGCGAAAACCGTAAGTCAAATTTGTATGCTTTTAGAATGTTGTTAATAGCGTTTTTTAACCCATGTCAATTAAATTCAACTAAATTTTAGTTATATTTGTGTCCCGTATTGTTCTCTTTGCGTCATTGACCATGAACAATGTATGATGTTTGTAAATATAGATTGGCACATGAATGCATACACATAGTTTTGTTGCACCTTTAGACGTCATCCAATTCTATCAACACTGCGACAAAAGTTGACAGCCTCAGAAAATCCAAGACAATAATATGCACCTTCATATGTAATTATTTTTAAATTTATAAGCACACACACCTTTGAAACGCCTTAGCAGTCAAATCTGCTGCTGCGATATGACGAGCACATGCACATGTCTTGATACCTCAAAAAAAAACAAGAATAGAATTGTCTTTTAGTGCAATATTTACATATCGTCGTTTAAAGTACAAAGCCGCGTATCGTCATTATGCAAGACCGTGTAACTGACATTGGATTAGCTCACACAAACTCTTGGCTCCATCTATTCATTCGTCCTGAAATATACTATCCAGAAGTCAGATTGCTTTATAAAACAGAGGACCGTTTTGAAATTTGAGTGTTTTTACTCTCTAGAAAATAATTTATGCAACCTCACATACGCGATTTTACATTATCTTGATACGCGGTTTTGCGTTTTGTTGATACGCGGTTTTGTACTTTAAACGACGTTATGTTAATATAATGTATACATTCATGTGTATATATTTTTGGCTAAATGCCTATATTCACACAGGGGCTAAATAATAGTAATGACTAGTATAATAAATTTGATTTAAAGGGTACATTTTGTAATAAATTTTGAACGAAAGGTAGTATTATTTTATTTAAACCAAAATTTAGTAATATCTACTTTAACATTCATTATTTCACCAAATATTAATTATGAAAGGCAAAAGAGGAACGTTCTCCGCCAACTATGTATGTATGTATATTCATAAATATACACACATTTATTGTTGTCTTCGATTTGCATACGCTCTCTTCTGCCGCACAGATGTACCTCAGAAGCTACTGCATAGCATCTTTCTATACTGAAAACTCTTCATAATGCGCGTTCATTGAAAATATAGTTTTCAAAATACTGAATCAGTGCGAGCGGGCCACTCAACCGAAAACCACACACTATTCCGGTGATATTCATACATAATTTTGTGGACGATGGGTGAAAAGTAAAAGCTAAAGACAAAAAGTGAGCGCAGTTGCAAGCATACATATTTACAAAAGTTCATGTGCATACATATGTACAACATAAAAATATGTTTATATATGTATCATATGAATTATCACAATAAATCTTGTGACCTTAACTGCAAATACTATATGTATAGTACAAACATATATATAATATACATAAATAACTACATTTATCTACAGCCGTGACGTATTATAAAAAGTCGGCGAAAAGCACAAAAGTCAAGAGTCAACGAGTCACAAAAGAATCTCCAACGGCTCATTGGTGCGGTGGTAATATGTTTCGTGTCTCACAGGAGATTCGCTTGAATACGAGCGGCAATGCTGAAGTGCCGCGCTACTGTAACAACACAAGCGCCGACAGTGAAAATGAGTGTATTTTTGGAAAATACCAAAGAACCCCAGACGCGGGTGAGTATTTACGTATACGGAATTTTTTTTTGTACGGCTTGGTTGAAGGAACTTTCCAATGTGTGCATGTAGGTGGGCATACTTACACGAGTGCATACATGTATACATAGGTGTTCGTCTATTCGTTATTTGTTGCACTTACATACTATTTGTTTCTTCGTCGATTTTTTATACCTGAGCGCACTTGTGCACAGGGTATTATAACTTTGTTCGCATAACGGTTGTTTGTGACAGACTAAAGGAATCGATATAGATATAGACATGTGTATACATAAATGATCAGAATGAAAAGTGAAGTCGATTAAGCCGAGGCGAAAATGCTTCCTATTAAGGAGCATAACACAATGCTCGGCAAGCAGTTTCTGGTTGGGAGCCACAGACATGGTCACCCAAATAGACCCTCGCCCAGAGGTTTATTAAGTAGCCTCTGGACCCGTCAGCATATCGACAGGCCCTGAATGGCATTCACAGGGAGTCAGTCTCGAGCCGTTCTAGGCACACAACCACCGAACATCGACGAGACGGAACTTCATCTGCGTAGAACCACAATAGCCCAACTTCGCTCTGGGTACTCCAGCAGGTTAAATTCATACCTGAGCAGATTAGACGCATATGTGCCAATTGAGTGCCCGGCATGCGGAGAGACACCCCACGGCTCGAAACATCTCTTCGTATGCCCGGAAACCCGACAACACTAACGGCTTTGTACCTGTGGACCGACCCCATTGAGGCTGTACGCTACAACAACAACAACAACAAAGCCGTTTCTGTCTGTCCGTCCGTCCGTCTGTCCGTGTGAGATCTCAACGAAATTTGGTATATACGTTGCCCATTATCTAAGGGAGGTTGCTATTGAAAATGGGCGAAATCGGACTGTAACCACGCCCCTTCTCATATAACGGTATTTCTGAAAAATGCAAAAACTATGATATTTCAGTAAATATTGGATCCAAATCTTTCAAAATCAGTATGTGAGGTAGAATTTTTGTGCAAAATAATTTGATTACGAAATATTTGGAAAAGGGACGTGGCCAGGACCACTTATGATGAAATACTGTATCTTAGTAGCCGCTTCACCCATCCTTACCAAACTCGGTACGAGCCTCGTTTAGGGCCCAGCTAAGAAATCCTTGAAATCGGGCAATAATGACGTCCACCTACCATATAACGGTAATTTAAAGAAACACGAACAGCGATAAATCAGTAAATACTGAAGCTAATTTACTCAAAATCGATAATGGCAATAACCACTTAGCAGAGAATTTTATAAATGTTTGGATAATGGGCGTGGCGCCGCCCACTTATGGCCACAAATGGGTATCTCGGCAACCGATTTATCAATTTCTGCCAAACCCAGTGTACTTAATAACCTTGGCACGGAAAAACAATTCGTTTGAAAATTATTCAAATGGGACTTAAATTACACCTGCATCCCGTATAACGGTAAATTTCAGAAATACGAAAACTCCGATGTTTCAATAACTGAGGACGCTCATTTACTCTAAGTTAATACATACCTTCTTACAACAACCGCTTAACAATAAATAAGACTCTTATAGACCTTTATCAATTAGACGTGGCACCGCCCATTTTATGACTACAAAGGTCCATCTAGTAATTAGAGCGAGAAGAAAGATTTTGAAGCTGCCTTATATGAAGAATTGCCTTTAAATGTTGTCCATAAGGCAGCCGAGTGTCAGAAGATAAAGCGAGAAGCTGTTTTATTACACCAGCTGTTTATTGCGCCATGAGTGGAAACGACGATATTTAATACCTGCGCCGGGTATATAAAATTCGGTTTCCCCCGAACTTATATTTGTTTACTAGTTTTTTTTTCAAATTTTCAAATTAACAGCTAATGTTTATAATCTTTGGTTCACCAACATTAAATTTTTCTTAATTAATAAAAGCTAATTTCATTAAGTAGTTAAAATAGTGTTACTAACATTACAGATGCCTATCCTACCGAAGGTCCATTGGTGCTCGTCGCTCCCGAGCTAACAAATCCCAGCAAGGTGAGACTTCTACACTTTCCCAATGGTGCCGTGCTCGTGAACTCGGAAGTCAATTTCATAATCAAACGCAATGGTGTGAAAGGCAATTTTGAAGTTAAGGTGAGGTCTTACACCAAAAAATCTTTACATTTACCGCTTCATTCCAAGATTTATGATTTAACCCACCAGATAAGTTCAAAATAAAATGCGCCCATTCCTTCCCGTTGCAGGTCGAAAGTCCATCTGGCATAAATAGTGTGATGCCTCTACAAATACTTGATCCTGAACGTTTGAATGTCAACTTTAATCTAAATGAGGCGGGCCTCTATAAAGTACACATCAAATGCAATTCCGTGCCATTACCCAAATCACCGTTTATCATAATTTCCATTTGTGGAGAAGCTGAGGGCAATGCTCGCAAAATGGAATGTAAGTTGACTGACCATAATGATATTTTTTTTGTTTTTGTTTTTTTTTTCGCAAACTAATAAGCTCTAAACAATTTTTCTACACCACCTATTTAGTGCCCATTTTCAAATCAGATGCCAATTGCGTGACCCATCGCGGACTTGGCCTAACACACATTTCTCTCGATGACCGGAACGAATTTACTGTTGATGGCTCGGCGGCGGGCAACAATATGCTGTTCGTTGGCATATTCGGACCGAAAGGACAGTGCGATGAGGTTGTCATTAAGCATATGGGAAATAATGTTTATAAAATTACATATGAGGTGCGTGATCCAGGCAATTATCTCGTAGTGGCCAAATGGGGCGAAGAGCATATACCCGGTTCGCCATTCCAATTGAGTGCAAATTAATGTGAGAGCATAATCGCAAACATATACAAATTACGTGCTTACATTTGTATGTACATATGTAGTTGCCATTATTTCCGTGCCTTTCCTATACTTCAGTATGTTTACCAATTATATCTTTGTACTTAATCTAATTTTAGTGAATTAATGTTCTCTTCAGTAGATATGTATTTAAATAAAAATAAATGCATCAAAATTTAATAGTTAGTAAAAAGTAAACAAATAAAATAAATTTTATGTTTATCCTATAAATGGGAATTTTTCGTTGTTTTGCAATTACACTTCTTCTTATTTGGCGCTGTAACCGCCCAAGCGATTTTCGCCGAGTTCAACAAACCACGCCAGTCGTTTCTCTTCTGTGCCAACTGACGCCAATTGGAAGTGCCAAGTGAAGCCGAGGCCTTCTCCACCTGGTCTTTCCATCGCAGTGGGGGCCTCCCTCTTCCTGTGCTACCACCAACGGGTTCCGAGTTGGAGCGTCGGTGTCCATTCGATCGACATGGCCAAGCCAGCGGAGCCGCTGTATTTTAATTCGCATCATTCCATCGTCTGCGGCACTCGC